CTCTAATAGTATAATTAGCCGAGCCGGACATCATTAATGTATGTATAACAACAACAACAACAAATGCATAAATGACGAATATGACACATTTTCAGAACCATTCCCTCCCAGTTCGTTATTATCATATCCAACCGTGTTGTTGTCTCCTGGTAATGAGGTCCATTACATCGGCCTAATGCTGATAATGAGCATCGAAAAGGAAATGAAAGGGGAACGAAGTGATGATGAGGAGAATAATGATGACGCGCTCTGTGGTTTGTTTCTGTCAGAAATGGTGGCAAAAAATTAATTTAGTTTTATTCACAACTAGTGTCACTATATATGTGTGTGTGTTTCTGGTTGACAGCCTGTGTGAATGAACGCCTGCCAACTTGCTTGAATGACTGGCTGTGTCTCTGTTTTGTGTCATTTATTAACTAATTTTTGTAGTTTTCATAACAGACTCCCCAAAGACTTTAGGCATTTTTTTCCAAAGGTTGTTTCAAACTGACACTGTCTGCTAGGTTTTTGTTTTCATTCTTTGTTGTTGTTGTTGTTTTCCGTATGTGGGAGGAAACTATGTCATGTTAGTCTGCAATGTTATTTATAAGTTAGCTATTTGCAACAAATGTCCAAACATGAAATGTTTCGGAGTAAATTTAATAAAGTAATTAGAATGTTAATTAATCATATTCACCAAGTAATTAAGAGCATGCATATTATTTTTCAAACACATATGTATCTACATACATGTACAAATTTCCATTTTTGTCTTTTTTTGGCTCGGAAAATATTTTTTTAATCCACGCTTATAAATAGACCTCAAAAAATATTTTTTAAATATCCAAGCCTATAAATAGACCTGAAAAAAATATTTGTTAAAATCCAAGCCTATAAATAGACCTCAAAAAATATTTATTAAAACCCCAGGCCAAAAAATATTTATTAAAACCCCAGGCCAATAAATAGACCTCAAAAAATATGTTTAAAAAATACACGCCTATAAATAGACTTCAAAAAAATGTTTTAAAAATACACGCCTATAAATAGACTTCAAAAAATATGTTTTAAAAATCCACGCCTGTCAATACACCTCAAAAACTGTTTTTTAAATCCACGCATATAAATAGACCTCAATAAATATTTTTTAAAAATCCACGCATTTACATAGACCTCAAAAACTGTTGTTTTTAATCCACGCCTTTAAATAGACCTCAAATATTTTGAGTCCACGCTTATAAATAGACCTCTTTTTTTAATCCACGCATTTACATAGACCTCAAAAATTGTTTTTTTAATCCACGCCTTTAAATAGACCTCAATTTTTTTGAGTCCACGCTTATAAATAGACCTCTTTTTTTTAATCCACGACTATAAATATACCCCAAAAATATTTTATAAAATCCACCCCTATAAATAGACATCAAACATATTTGTTAACGAGTGAGCAGAGCAGTATATTCGGACGGGACCGACCATACGATACGCTACACAACTACCGCGGAACTCTAACTTTCTGCGGATGTTTATTTCGAGCCTGAGCAATATTAGAGGCCTCTAGCCTATTGACCTCTAGCCCGATTAGAGGTCAACAGCACCTCTCCTTACACTGACATATTTTCCGAATATTACTATTCATATTCAGTACAGCCCTTCTAATTAATTGTCCAGATTCCCTTCCACCGTAGGTTGTGTGGTGATGCTCGGCCTATTATTAGCATGAAGTATCCCAAAATTATTATCTGATCATCGCCGAAATTTATAGGTGTTGTCATTGATCATAACTGGAACCTCATGGAAAATTTAAAAGCGATCAGCGCTATATTTCCGCCCTCTAGGGTGGTAATGGGTTACTTAATAATATCAGAATACGTAACCACATGTAAATATTTAAGTGTATCGCCCACATCCAAGTACATACGACAATATAATTGGTATCAATTTAAAGGTCAACCACTCCTCGTGGATATACTATCAACTACTCGGGTACATGTCCTTTAGACGCCGTACAATACCAATTTTGTAATTTTTCACACAAAAATCAGGGTCCATTTCACCCGCTAAATTTTGACCGATCTGTATCAAAGCATGCATGCTTATTCTTTGGCCCGATCCCGTTCTCCATGTAAAATTTCGCGATGTTTGGGCCATAATTGCGGCCTCTGGAACGACCAGAAAATCTGATAAAAATTAAGTTGTTGGTCCATTTCATCCCCTAAATATTAACCGATCTTCACCAAAAAACAATATGGCTCTTCATTGGGCAGAACCTTTCCTACATGCAAAATTTCGTGAAGATTGGCCCATAACTGTGGCCTGTATCGTGTTTACAATTTATAATGGACAGACGGACGGACGGACGGACACACATGTCTAGATCGACTCAGCTTGTTGAGATATGACGATCGATATACTTAAAGGTCGGTCTAGGACCAATATTTCGCGGCGTTATAGCACAAAGCAATAATACCATGACAACATAGTTGTGTAGGGTATAAAAATACAAGAAATCCAAGCTTGTTGATGGCCAACCATTTCATACACCGGATTACCATAGGTGAACATTTTTTCAATTTAAATTTTCCGGAAAATGTCCAGCTTTGATAGAGTACCCCCCAACATTCGGTATTTTGGGAGTTTTTATCGCGTTTTTCAATTGAATTGCTGTAATTTGGCGCATTGGGTTCTTAATAGGTATCAAATTTCTGCACTAATAATATTCAATATCGGTCAGTTTTTTCGGATATCCCCCATTTAAAGGTACATTTAAATATTTAGGTTTCATATATGAGGTATCTCCTGTTAAACGAAGGATTGTGTTCATGTGGTTCACACGATTTCCACTTGGTTTCTTCAAATATTTAAGGCTGGACAATCGGCAATTTTATAGACTTCATTTTATTAGGCAATTTTTTTTCTTTTTGTCTGCTCAATTCCTTTCGTTTACATATTGACAACTAAATCTTCGTTTGATTTGCCGTCAGTTTTGTCCATAGGCTCCAACTTTCCAGCCGCATTTCCAGGATTTATATTTATGTTTTCCCTATGGACATACTCCATATTCATCGGCTTCAACATCCAAGACGGACCCTGTTCCATAACATGTTTCTCCGCACCCAGCCTTTTCAATCGCCAAATGGAGCTAATTTCCGTGAAATAGAAATATATGCAAATGGGATTTCATTTACCATTTTCCGCTCCTTGCTGTCATTAGCAACCATTAGTCTGGCCAACTTATCACGTCCGGTCTCTGCTGTTACACGTACATTCTCCGAATGTGCCAATTCTTCTGACAGCTTCTATATTTGCATTCCCTAGGATTTCGCGGCTTGGCTTAGCCAAATCATCTCATTCGGTATCTGCTGCTGCTCGACGAGTCATCTCTGAAGGAGCCAGTTCTTTCAAAAGTTTATTCCCCTCTTTTTGCTTTGATTTTCCTGCTGCCTGGGATTTCTCTGCAGTCGCCACCAAATCACTTTTAACTTATCGAACTAGTTTTTTTCTAATTCTCGGCAATTGTCTTTAGTCTCTTGATCCTTTGTCGGCAATGACTGCAAATTTTCTTCAAGGCAACCATTGGCGTCTTTCATTGTTTTCAGAGCAACTTCTAGCTCCCTATATCTTACACGTAATAGCTTTTTCTTCCAATTCTTCATTATAGTCTTCTTATAGCATATCGGCCACAAGCTTCGCTGACCTATGCTTTCGTCAGTCTTCTCCAACGCCGATTGAAGACTGCCAATTTGCTCTTGGGGTGGCCTAAACCCCTTCTGTCATTTTGGATTTCTTCTCCAATCACGAAACTTCATTTCATCGGGTGTGTCCCCCACTATATCTCCTCTATAGTCATGTATATTCCCAGTCGCATCCAGATTATCGCTATTCTCTACGAACCTGTCGATATTTGCTAGACGATTTTTCTTCTATTTGCTAGCTACTTTTGTTCTGCGAAATAATCTTAACCCCTTCGTTCCGTTGCTTCTGCACGCAGAACTGAAGACCCCTCGGTCTTCAGTTCTGGTAAATTGTTTACAATAATATGTACTTCTATAGAGGGATGAACGTACATGCATAAATCGACTCAAAAATTAATTCTATGCCTATTCCTAAAGGGAACCATAAGTATATCTTGCTTCATTTTAAATTTGTTCATTACAATCGAACCAATCAATAATACACCTTTAACCAGTAAAGAAAGTTCAAAAGTCGGACGGGGATGCATATATGATACCCTTCACCACTTTGGATACATGCAAGACATGTTAATATATACAATATCCTGTAGATATAGCGGTCATAGAATTGAGATAGAATTGAGAATGAAATCGGGCGAAATTAAATGTGATATCTAGATAAATATTTGAACGAATCGAAAAACCAAAACAAATACCAGAACAGAGCTATAATTACTTATTACGGTAATAGTTCCAATATATTAACATGACCTCTCCATAAGTTTATCAATGCGGACAACGAACAAATAATCAATTTTTTCTTCTGGCGCTGTTAGTATGTTGACAGTTTAAAATAAAACCAATTCAAACTGAGGCTCATAACATGGCTTAAAAACATACAAACAATAAGTGACCTAATTTCAGCACTTAAATGGGCGTCTGCTTCATAAGCGTAACATTTTGGTACAAACTTGTGTTTAATGTTTTTATTTGGTTCATAAACTCTCATTGCATGCTTAGCTTTAACGTTTATGTTCAGTACAGCTTTTATGCTTGCAACATTCAAATAAAAGCTTTATTTAATTCATGTTGTATGAAAAGATATAGGCATGTCAAACAAATGTTGGTATTACTGCGTTAAAGTTGTAACGTTTAAGCTTGGCTAAAACACCTCAACAGTGGTGGCTTTTAACTTTGCTGATCAGTTGCCTCATAGAGGCTTGTCTCAACAGATCAGTTTGCGGTTCAAGTTTGACGTTGTTGTATCGTAAGCGAAAAACAACAGGTGTTGCAAGATCAAACAAATATTTCAATGATTTCTGTCTTTTAGAATCCAGAAACGTCAACATGAATTTTGCGGAAATTTTGAATCAATCTGTGTGCCACTACTTGGGCAATTTCACCTCTATGGGCTGCTTAACATTTCTCTTGACCTGTGGCAGTTTGATAGCGGCCTTAGTACTCTATGCCCTGTGGAAATACAAAGAGGGACCCAGTTATTGCAAAACAAATCGCATTGATGGTAAAATTGTTATTATAACCGGTTGCAACACCGGTATTGGTAAAGAAACAGCACTGGAATTGGCCAGGAGGGGTGCACGTATTTATATGGCCTGTAGAGATTACAATCGTTGTGAAAAGGCCCGACAAGATATTATCTATGAAACGGGTAATTCGAAAATTTTTAATCGTCGATTGGATTTAAGTTCTCTGCAATCGGTAAGGGAATTTGCCGAGCAATTTAAGAAGGAGGAAGAACGTTTGGACATTCTCATCAATAATGCTGGGATTATGGCCACACCTCGAAAGCTGACCGTTGATGGCTATGAACAACAATTTGCCGTTAATCACTTGGGACACTTTTTGTTAACAAATTTGTTATTGGATCACCTAAAAGCTGCTGCTCCCAGTCGCATAATTGTCGTCAGCTCTTGGATGTATGCTTTGGGACGCATTCAAACTGAAGATTTGAACAGCGAAAAAAGTTATAACGATTTTCGTGCTTATGCCCAGAGTAAATTGGCCAATGTTTTGTTTACCCAAAAAATAGCGAAAATACTAAAGGGTAGCGGCGTCACTGTCAATTGTTTACATCCCGGCTCCGTGCAAACTGAACTATTTCGTAATAATCGTTTTCTTGCCATTTCAAGTCAATTGACAAAGTTGGCTTTACGTTCACCGCGTGGTGGTGCTCAGACTTCCATATACTTAGCATTGGATCCAGATTTGGTGGAACAAACTGGTGGCTACTATGATCGCATGACGTTACAGAAATTGGTTGCAAAAGCTTGTGATAACGAAATGGCCGATTGGTTGTGGCAGAAAAGTGCAAAAATGGTTGGATTACAAAAGTGAATGTGTGGAATGAAGGGGAGTAATAATGTAATTGTTGTAAATTGTTTAGTGTTTAAGCAAGTATGTTTATTTTTTGCAATAAAAAGGGGCAAACATATTTTTGTTTGTGTTTTTTATAATTATAATAAATGTAAATGACGCAAAGTTCGGACAGCAGTTTTAAAATGTCCATAACTGATTGGTAATCATGGAAGGAACTTTGTGTACGGAGTTATTCGAATGTAACTGTAAACAAAAATTCTACTCATTGACATATCCTAAACAAATTTATTTTCAATTCGGTTGGAAATTTTGATATTAATTTCGATAACAAGGAAATCTCCATATTCAGAGAATCTTGGCAAAGCTTAGTAGCTTCTTCTCGGAAATAATATTCTAAGTTTAGCATTCCTCAGATGAACATGATTTTGGAGGGTAAAAAATACTTATGGGGATGAACGTCCTTGGAGAGTATATTAAGAATCCAAAGGGACACACTTGCATTTTTGCATGCAGAAAAAATTGTATATCTTTGTTTGTTGCTATTACAGATTATTTCGGCGGTGACATGTCTTCAGTCAAGTCGAATGAGGAATATTTTTGTAAAACATAGCCTTCTTCTATCTCGATGCCCTTATCGAACTGTACAGTTACAGCAACAAAATTCATGACGCCAACCTCTGACACAATACCTGTTTCTTCGGTTGCAAATTTTTTTAGGGTACCAAACATACCTACATTGCTACACAGGGGTTACATTATGGACATTGATAATTTTCTAAAATTCTAAATCATGTTATGACAGAACCATGAATATAACGAAAGAGACGTTATAAAATATGTTTATCTAATATGGGGCTAGCGTTTTATGGGGCTATATCAAAACGGGGATCAATATTGATTATTTTGATTAGTGAAATTTGACAGCCAATGAAAATACAATTACAGCCAATTCGGTAAAAATGTGTCCAAACTTCCTAAAATACAGTCATGGATCGATCTTAATTATTTTTAATACAGAAATGTGGAAGTACCGTTACATGGGGCCTCAACACTAAAACATGGTTCAATATTAGTAATTTTAGTACAAAGATGTGTCATACAATAAGTAATTAGCCATAATTTCCACAGGAACAGTGTCATTGTAACTAAATAGGCAAATAAGTTTTGGTGTAGTTTCCTATATAACGGCCACACTCTAAACTATAGACGCACCTTTAATTCAATTGATATGTTAGTTGACAAATAAAATGGGCCAATTAAATTATTGTACACACATATTATTCAACAAAAATAATTGATTTATTCTTTATGGTTTCGACTAATTATAGTCGTGCGACTATAGACGCACTTTTACAAAATTAGATACAATTATTTTTAAAAACTTAAATAAAATAACTTTAATAAATAATGGGTAGGGACTCCCTTATTTTAAATAAGTTCAAGACTTGAACGTACTCCACTGAAATCATCCGACAACTAGGAAATGATTTGGCATTCCGTCGCTATAAAATTCACCCAAGACTAAAAAGTATTGCATATAAATATATAGTTTGTTTTGAAACTTGCAGTGTATTATTTAACGTAGAATATTTTATTCTTTGACATAATATACATACAATTAAGTTTCATGTTACTTTACTGCACTTAGCCGAAAAAAATACTGGGAAATGTCTTTAAAAAAATACAAGAATATTTTGAATTTTTTGTTCAAAATGTATGACTATATATTCGGTATATAATATATACGGATTTCTCTTGTTCAGTGACTTATGCTAAAAATTGATGGAGAATATTTTTGTTCCTTATACCATAATTCTAAAATGATATCTTGTGGGAAAAATGGGTAAAATCTAGTAATAAGTGCTATTTTAACCCTGAAATGAGTTTTTGTTTTTTAAGATTTTTGATGTTTAGGCTGATTTTTGCGTTTTGGTCTATTCTGAGACTTATTTACATTTCTGTAGAATATTCTGAGCAGCTTTAAGCCCGTTTTAAATGAGTTTTCAATCACTTCTGGAAAAGGGGGCCGAAAAGACCCATTCATTAAGTCGGTTGAGGGTAAAAGTTGTATACCAAAATGTTCCTCGATATTTTATCAGTAATATTGATGAATACACTATATAGGGGAGACTGGGGCACCTTCGGCACTTTTTTTAGAGCTCTATATCTCAGTACTTATTCAACATATATAACAACTTTATCAGACACTTAATTATAAAAAATAGTACCAAAAAGATATAAAAAATAGTATTAGTTAAAAAAATTTACAGTTTTGTAAAAAAAAGTCAAATTCGCCGAATGTGCCCCAACCCGGGGTAGCTTCGGCATTTAATGGGACACATTCGGCAACCAAGTCATAGCCGGGTAATTGTCATCGCTATCAGTCTAGTTGCAATTCTGATCCTCTAAAGGCTCTATTTGGTTTTAATACGCCACACAATGTTTGAATTATAGGGCTTTATTTTCTAACGGCGGACGTTTACATATCAAGCTCGCACACACTATCAGAAATAAGGGTTTTCTATCGCATGTTCGTCAATACAAGTACGTTTGATCTTATATATGCAATTTCGAACCATATTAAAGGATTAGTTTTAAAGACAAACTCAAAAACATTTTAAGGAAATAATATTGCACAATCTGTATATGGCCGCATGTGCCCCACTTTAAAATGCCGAATGTACCCCGAATGTACTTTTTATAGTTTTTTTTTCATTTTTTTCGACCAGTTTTGTAAAAACATTTGTTTAGGTTCGATACATTGTTTACGACAATGTATATGTTCGATATGTTGTTCACCCCTTCCGTAGCATACCAATTGTTATTCACATTAATTGGCCACTCATTTGAGTCAATGGGGGAATCTTCTCTGCACTTCTTCTAGGAGTCACATTCGCCTGGTTCGGATTGTAGGAGAGAGTATCCGGATCAGTTCGGATGCAGAGAGGACTTTCTAGTGCTACGGTCGTCGATGTGATCTCGACCTTGTTTACGCTACATTTGCTCACCGCGACTCACTTGCTTTCTAACTCTCGTTGATTTAACTTGCAATCTCGCTTTCGATCTCGCACGCACGCATTAAGGTAAAGTTTTGTTTCATTCGAAACTCACTAACTTGCCAAATAAAGTTTGAAAATACATCTTAACCCAAACATTGTTTTTCTTTCTCTTTTTGGTTTTTATCCCCTCATCGGTATCACACCAACAACATTATATTTTTAAATATTTCCATAATAATACACATCGTGGTTAACAACTTTTTAATAATATTGTCTTAAAAATTTAAAAAGTTTTATACGCGAAATACTTACGTAATGGAATTGAAATATTACAGAAACATCTATAAAAATATAAAAACCCATGTATCTAAATAAGTTTATTAGCTAGAAATTTCAAAATTTGTGTCTGTTATTTATTTCGATATTCGATACCTATGTATCGAAACTAGTGATGTACGGTGAGAGCTTCATATCGAAAACGCGATTGCCGAAGGTGCCCCGATGCCGAAGGTGCCCCAGTCTCCCCTAATTCAGAAAAATAAATCACACACAATTAATTTTTTTTCAATTTTGTTTCCAGTTAACTGTCTAGGAACTGAATACATGATCTGTATACATTATGCATATTTCATATAATTCCTTTTAATTGTATACATCATTATTTTTGTTAAATCCCTTAAAATATTGTTGTAATTTGTATTTCGAACAATTCTTTTCTTCCCTATTATTATGAGAATATCCTCCCTAAAAGTAGGCTTTAATTCCACTTCAACGGTTGATGCGCTTTTTCGCCGACTTTCAAAATTCATAAAAGAACAAGTACAACACTTTGTATTCTTTGTATTCTCAACTATTACTATTGTTCTTAAGTTTCGCATTGTGTGGCTTTAAAGGGGGGTAGCTTTTTACTCCAATTCCTTTTTTGGTTAAGCCTTCATTTGGTATGAATGGAAGAATGTTTACAAAAGGAGTAAAAAATGTGTATTGTTTGTTTTTGGAAAAAATAATGATGGAAACCATGGGATTTTGTAGAAGTTTTTTTTAATTTTTTTTCTTTGAAAAAAAACTCTGTTACTGGGCGAGTGGTTCCCTACTGACATGTTAACAAACAATTTATATTTATTTAGTAAATATTTAAATACCTTTAATTATATATAAAAGATTTCATAAACCCATTTTCGCTGCTCCATTTGTTGAAATATTAAATATGTTAAATAGTAAAGCATACTTATAGGAGTTCCCTTAACCGGAATATTTTCGAGCTTTTATTTATGGTTTGTTCACAGTGTTTCCGGAATTTTTATAAACAAAACCAAAAACAACAACAAGAACAACGAGTACACATGTCTTCCGGTTAAATGACAATCAGTTGTACCGGAGGTAAAGTATTGTTGGATGGATAAAAGACATGAATGGTCGAGGGAATGTTTTTTTTACAAACACTAGGGTGGTAACATTGCAATTGCTGCAAAATTTCCAAAGTCAATTTTTTAGGTCCATTGAATGGAGTGGATATATTTTTATTTCAAACCGGAAGATGCAAATTTCAAGTCTAATAAAACGGAATCCCGTCGTCTCTCATTGTGGGCGAGCTGTTTGTCTTAAGCCATCAAATTTAATTTTATTCCACCCTATTATACACACAAAACTTTAACGTCAACATAAATGAATGTATGACATTTAACTTTACAAATGAATGACACATATACGCATTCACATATTTTATGTATTTGTTGCATGCATAACCAACGCTCTCAGCAGCGTTCCGTGTGTGTCCTCATTTCTCTCCCTTATGGACTTTTCCCCATTATAGCCTTCGCTTTTCCGACAATGCTATCAGAGACCTTAATATACTTGACTGAATTCGCGGCAATTACAAATATACATGCAAATGCTTGTTCCAGAGTTTTACTTTAAGATTCAAATTCTCAATGTTCCATATACAACAAGTCATTGTCTTATAGAGAATCCATGCCAAGCGGAGTATTTTATGTCGTTATAATGATTCATAAAGATTAT